CGATCTAGCCGTGTCAATCCCAAAAGTTCTACTCCAATAAACACAAAAAACCCACATATGTTAGTAAGAGTTACATGCTGTGCTAAATGTTATGTTTTTGCAATTTTTAATCAAACTTGAACCTAATTTGATAGCCAAATCAAGAAATTACTTACCCATGGCACGTATTTTTAAAAAACAACGCTTAAATCTGCAAAATCTTTTTCAGACGAAACGATTGAACTTACTAGAAAATGACGCTCGCAAGTGCTTCTCCTAGCAAAAAGAAACCCGATCTAAATCGCTGATTGAATAATATTTCCGTTCGCGTACTGACGAAAACTGTTTACCCCATGGCTAGGGAACCTATAAAGACCATAAATGGTGGGTTGTGTTTTTATTTCACGCCATTTCATTTTTGGACTTTCCAAGCGCCAGATTGAGAAAACTGCCCACTGTCCAAAATGACGTCTCCTACAGCCCTCGTGCAGCATTATAGTAGGACTCTCCCTCCTCCCTAAGCAACGCAACATCCATTGCCGAAGAAAATCTTCAGTTTGAACTTCGGCCAAGTGACGAGGACACCACTCACTCAACTTCCACACCAAGCCAACGTAAAGATTTTAATTCTCAACTGATTCAATGTGCTTTTTAGGGGACTCAAACCCAATACTCGACATACACATTTACAAATTCACGACCCATGGACCCTAACTCCCGGACCACGGATCTGTTCGAGGATCAAATGATACCGGTCCACCCAAAGAATAAATTGTTTTATTTTATTTACCGCGTAGCGATCTAGTAATTTAAATAACCTTTTATTAATACTTGGTTCAATTGTACTTTATTTTGAAAGCATGTTTAATACAATTAATTTAAAAACACAACACAAGTAACATATAAAAAAAATTAAGTCAATTTCTACATAGGTCGACAAAGACACATTTTATTTTGGTTACTTTTTATTTTAACCAGTTACAATTAATATGAATATGTACACTCATAGACAAAAAAATAAACGCACCAAGAAATAATTGCGGGATCTTAACGAAACTTGGCATGCAGGTACATGTCGGGGAAATATGCAAATGATTAAAAATGCAGCGTGATTGCGCATTACGTATAGTCGGTAGAAGGCGTTTAACGTCGTTCTCCGTGAAGTATAAAACAGATAACCAAAGCTTGTTTGAGTGTACTGAATCGTTTACAAAGGAAGAGCTGAGGTAGACATGCTATTACGCCATTTTCGAAGACAATGTGAGCAGCTGTCGCAGTTTGAGAGGGGGAGAATCATCGGCATGATGGAAGCTGGGTGGTCAGCTAGGCGACTAGCTTGCCAATTAGGCCGCTCTGACTGTGTTGTAAGGAGGTGTTGGGAATAGTGGATCCGAGAGATGTCATTTACATGAAGATCAGGCTCAGGATGCCCTCGACGAACCAATCGTCGAGAAGACCGCCACATCGTAAGAAATGCACGCGTACAGACAATTGCTTCATCGACCGCCGTCCAGGCACAGATAACATCTTCACTAGGAGGTCCTGTGTCTTCTCCAACCATACGAAGGCGCCTGGCTGAATGACATTTTGGATCGCGGCGCTCATTGCGTGTGCTGCGCTTGACGCCCACCCATCGACGCCTCCGTTTGGAGTGGTGCCGCGCACGAGGAAACTGGACTGCAGCAGAATAGAACCAGGTCATCTGTTGCCTCTCATGCAACGGCACCCAGGAGCCATTTTTCAAAACGACAATCCTCAGCTTTACACTGCAAGGGTGTCACAAGACTGTCTCCGCACTGTTACTGCCCTTTCTTGGCATGCCCGATCCCCATATTTGTTTCCAATAGTGCCTATCTTTGATCATTTGGGACAGCGAGTTGGACATACCAGGAGTTTGAACGAACAAGAGGCAAGGTTACAGCAAATATGGAACAAAATGTCTCAAGACATCATACAGAAATTGTATGCCCCAATGCCTGATCGTATCGCATCGTGCCATCACGCTAGAGGGAGTTCATCAGGGTATTAAATCCTCCGTTCTTTTGCCTTTTTCTTTCATTTTCTAATCATTTACTTATATCAAAGTAGTCATTGCGTATGTAAAATTTCGTTTCATTTTGATGACTTCTTCTTGGTGCGCTAATTTTTTTGTCCATGAGTGTCTAGACATAGGACAGTATCACACTATTAAGTGACAAAATAGAAAATAATGTTCCTTTCTATGTAACTGAGTTGGTAAATCTTTATTGATCAACGTGCCATTTTTTTCTAAAGAAATATTTAATGAGGTATAGACGTGTCGTGTGTGTGTGTCAAACGATTTTGACTTGTGGTTATTGGAAAAATAATAAAACTAAATACTTACAACTCAATACTCTTTATTTACTACAAAAAATACATTTTGCACTGTAAAGTAGTAAATGTTTTAGTGTTGTACGTGTAATTCAAATTAAAGCAACATTAGCTTGACTTGACTTCTGTTGTTGCAGGTTATATATAAATATATATAGCAAGAGAGATGACAAATATATAATTTGTATTAGGATTGTAAGATGTCACTTTTAATAGAATGCACGCTGAATTGGATTCATCTGCCAAACAGTTTCTAAGTGAGTCTTTAATTTATTCATCACTGAAAATAATATACTCGCAGGCGTAGGTAGCTAAAAATATGGTTAAAATAGCATGAGCTAGTTTCTTCAAACAGTTAAATCAGTGTTTCTCAAACTGTGGAGCGTGCCCCCGGGGGGCGCGATAACCCTGCGAGGGGGCGCGAGTATATCGAAAATAAAAGGTTTAAAAAATAATTTTTTGGAATGAAGTAAAACAAAATGCTTTCTGACATAATAAAAAATACACATTTACACTGATATAACTTATATACATCATCTGGTGATCATTAAAAATAAAAGATTCCACTTCAAACGCTCATTAGCCATATTTGTGATCCTATAACCAAATAAAAAAAGACATTTTGTTTGCTTTACTGTAATCCTACGATGAGAGATTTTTTTATTACATTTATTTTAACCCCTAAAATACTACTTTGATTATCATATATTTGACCTTCAAACTTACTGGCATGTTTCACTCCGTTCCTTTTTCTTTTTAGGAAAGTTGTAAATATATATAATATTTTTCTGTTGCTTTTTTTTCCATGTGAAAGAGTTTTATGATATATGAATAAGCATATTGAGCATTTGAAGGATTATTTGACCAAGATGTATTTCTATGAGTATTCTGAAACATATAATGCATAATGAAAAACGTTTTACACTATTATTTTTTAAAACTGAATTAATTTGAATACACTTTTGAATTATATTGAGAGAATACACTTTTAACATGGGAGCGGTCGCATGAGGCGCACAGTCAACCCAGGCTCACGAAATCGTTTATTCTGGGAGAACTGTTTATTCGTTAACAGTTATCTTGACAGTTTCCCCCTATTAGACAGTCTTAATTGGAACTAAATTAAATTTGTCACAAATATGCCCTTTTTTTTAGAGTGGCGAACGTTTTTTTACAATCAAGTTACTAGTTTTGATGGAGTTCCCTGCGCGACCACTTTTGTTCAAAAATATTTTCTATCAACATGCTACACTTTTCCCCAAGAACAATTTTATGGTTTTGATTGCTGTGTTGCATGACTTTTGGTTTATAAATGTAAATGAGCAGAATATTAAAAAAAAATAGGCATCTGTGATCTCTATTGAAGAAAGTTGAAACTGATGAAGCAATTGAAAAACCTGCTAAAATAATGCATATTAATCAATGTAGTGAAAGTAAATATGAGAAAAGCGATAGACATGAAACGTTTGAGTTGAATTGAAATTTTCAAATGCTGCCTAAATAACTCTATGAAGAAAACTATGGAGCCATAAATGTAGCACTTTGACTTGTCAAAAAGTCCCAAGGAAGAAAAAGTACAGAATGCTATTTGTAGATCATCAAACGACAGCAAAACTACAATAACATGGACAAAGTATGACAGTTTTGCTGAAAAATAACGTTTCTGTATTGTTAGTGAAAAGTGTCTGTGATTTATGTCCTTTATTAAGGACACGCACATTTGGAACATTTTCTTTAGTTTTATTGGATTTTTTCTCAAATTATCAAATAAAAATCGAAAAGTCCTTGAAAGTAGGAAAGTACATTTTCTCTTAATTTAAATATTTACTGGAATTGTGATTTTTATAGTGTATAGTAAAAATAATTATAAAATAAATTATAGTTTAAAAACAAACTAAAAAAACACGCTTTTATAGTGAATCGAACTAAAAAGTAAAAAAATTAGAAATATATATTACTTAAAAGTAACATATACAAAATTTAATACTTATCTTGTTAATTTGTACGGTTTATAATTATGATCCAATTGTAGCTGTATCGTTCTAAAATGCCTTATTATTGCATTCAGTACATCATTAATGTATAAAAGTGAGGCGCGATAAAAATTATGATTGAAAATTGGGTCGCCAGTAGTGAAAGTTTGAGAACCACTGAGTTAAATGTATCTGGAATCGAATTCCATGTTTCCAAAATTTCCTTGTTGGCATTTTTACTTATATTACTTGTTAATCTTTCTGTTTCAACGAGTTCCAAATTTATTCTGTTTCATTTTTTTTAAATCCATTTTGAACTAGACTGAAAAACAATCAGTTGTATTTAAAATTGTTAAATTTTTGTTCAGTTTATCAAATGAAGTCGAATCAGGGTACATAATAAACATGAGCGTTTCTGACCATTCTTTAAACTGGGAAAGTCCCACTGAAAATTCCTTGATTGAAGTATCAATCATGAAAATTTTTTGAACTAAAATGTAAACCGTTTTGTTCGGTGGCGTGTCCATAATATTGTATCCTGTGCCATCAATGGCACGCGTGTCATTGGTTCGCCATCTCTGCTATATAGGGTGTTGGACATTTTTTTTTTGCTTGTTACTATTTATTCATTAATTAAATTTAATTCTTTGAATAAAATAGTATTGTAAAAAGAAATCACGTTCCCAGAAATTAGGCCATCCCAGGTGGGATTCGAACCCAAGACCTTGGGATGAGAGGTCCAAGACGCTATCCACTGCGCTACAGGGACACAACGAACGCCTTTCATTTCCATATATTCTGTTGCACTATTATTTTTGTGTGTTACTATTTATTCATTTTTTAATTTAATGAATGAATTAATATTTGAAAAAGTGTATTAACATCAAGTGTCATCCACTACAAGTTTAAAAAATGTATTTGAACTTGAGTGGATGAATAGAAAGCATTTTATCAACGATTGAAAATTTGAATAAGATATATATATATAGGGTAGAACGTGAACTAAAGTAGGAATTTAAAAACTATCTAAAATACAAACAATCAACGTTCCCCTCCCCTTGAGCGGGCCGCGGTAAAATGATCAAACGTTGATTGGATCACAGCAATAAAAAAGTTTAAAAGAACTGGTATATAGACCACTCACAATATTCTGACTAAAAGTGTTAAAGCATTCACTGACAAGGATCAGGGATGCATGTTCTACATGGACATCCTTCTTCCACTGACATGGACGTCGATGTACATTTCCAGTTTTCAAATTCAGACACTGCGCATCCGAGCAAAGGATTCGTTCAACACTCATCAACTCCCCCTCCCCCCTTTGGAACCCATCCCGTCTGGAACTCCCGCCACGGCTTTTTGACAGTTGGGGCCCTGTCACATCCACTTTGTCGGGGCGTTAATTGGCGATGCGCCCCATTACGCTCTGCCCCTGATCGAATTAAAGATGGGATAAAGGTGTCGGCGAACAACACATCCCAATAAATAAAAGGTACACGCCGAGCATTTCCTGGTGCGGTCGATTCAAGGGAAACGATGGATAAATGAAAATCGCCCAAAGTAGCGATGGCTGATGAAAATAAAATCTTCAGTTGGTTTGAAAGTGATGAAAATGTTCTTATTAAAACAAATTTTACCCCTTATAAGCCAGTGCTTCTCAAACTTTCCATAGTTGCGACCCAAATTCAGGCATAAGTTTCATCGCGCCCCCTCATGCAACGACAATGTATTGAATACAATAACAATGTACTTCGACGCTAAAGCTACAATGCGACTTTTTATTTTTTATCATGTCAGAATGCATTTTGTTTTGCTTCCTTTCGGTAAATTAATAATCATTTTAAATCTTTTATTTTGGACTTTTCGATATGCTTGACCACGTAGGGTCATCGTGACCCCCGCACTTTGAAAAATGCTGCCTTGAGCAGACAATTTTTTTGCCCAAAATGTTCCATAAAAGGCACATTTTTGTATTGCATATAACTAAGCACAATATTTAGCACAATGCGAAAAAAATAGAAGAATTTTAGTTTAATTTTCAATTTTGAAGTTTTTTCATACTATTTTTTCAATTCCTACACACTATTAGCTCATACTCTCCATATATTTATTTATCTTGGTGGAATTTGCAATCGTTCATAAAATACATTTTAAAGCGCTCCATTGAGCTGAAATTTTATATACAAGATTATTTTGGATAACAATACAGTAAATTTAATTATAATTAAGAAAATTAATGGATTAAAACTAATTATTCAAAGAATTACAAATACAGCCAAGTTAGCATTCTTTTTGGCGACTTAGCGACCTTTTTGGTGATTTATGTCAAAACTTGAAAAGGTTTTTTTTCTCACGTTTTAAAGCATTTAGTTGAACTGAAATTTTATAGACACGATTGGTTTGGATGACAATAAGATACCTTAATTATAATCAATAAAAATGAATTTCCACTTAATGTTGTTATTCTGTCCTTTGTATATATACATATTTATATTAATTGTAACTATTTAATAAAAAGTCGCTAAAATAAAATTTTTCTTTGTTGATCTAAGTAGGAATTGACTTTATTTTTTTTTATATTACTTGTTATTTTCTAATTAGGGAACCCAAAAACAATATTTTTTGCTTTTTATAAGTACACTCTGCATGCTATGTGAAGAATGTTTCGTATATCTTATAAAAGAATATTTCTCATACAAAAATTTCATGTTCATACCTCTTATTCAAATGGGTGAGGATTTTGTGCGTGTGTGCATATACATGCACACACAATTTGAAGCGTGGTGTGATACATTGCAATCGCGACAGAGATAAAATCGGCTTTTTTGATTATCTTACTATTTTATTTCCTTCTCAAGCAACAAGTTGCTCACTGCCTTCGTAATCTCAGTTCTTTATCGAACATTTTCGAGAATCTAAATTTCGGACTTCAATGACCCATCTTCACGACAAAGAAAATCCTGGATGTTCCACGGACATCGCCTATAAACACTAGCAGTAATAATCTCACTAGAAGAATTAAAAATATGTGCAAACCATAGAAAGAAGAAAATATCAGTGCCCGTACATAGTACGGGCAAACCAGGGTAGGGGTTAAGTCGAAAAAAAGAGGACATTACATTTGAACTGTACTGAGAAATCAGAAGCACTTAAAGCTGAAACACACACCAAGAGTTTTTCATTCTATAACGACATATTTATAGCTATAGATTTCTTGTCATGATAAGTCTCTCGTTCTTGAATATAATTTTCAGAATTTCATCTTTGTGTTGTCGAATATTTAATACTATACCCAGTGGCGTAGCGTGGCTTTTATCGCCTGGGGCCGACGGAAATGTGTCACCTCTCTATTTTAAATATTAGTCAAGAAAATTAGTAAAAGCAATAAAAAGTAGCTTTAAATTTTTTTACTGATTAAAAATGCACTTTTCGTGTTTTTTTCAGAGCAAAATCTTTTATACAATTGTCATTATCAATATGTGTGTCGTGTTCAATTGCCAGAATAGCCAACTTTGTTAGCCTTAACGTGGGCATAGTTGATCTCAGATAATTTTTGATTTCTCGTAACTGGCATTACTGATGTGACAGATGTTAAAAAAAATTCTTAGCATTATATGTGACGATTTTTGGTAAGCCATCTTTAACCACATGCCAGTTTTGACCGTACGCCGTACGTTCAGTAGTTTTTTCCAATTCTTGATTTGCCCGTACGTCGTACGTTCAGATTTATTTCTCCGATTTCATTCTGCTTTGCCCTTATTTTTATCTCTAGTAATTCAATAATTGAAGAATTTGTCAATAGATGGCGATAGTTGCCACTGGAGTTGAAAATCGTTTTAAGTGGTTTGTGAGTGGTTTTGGGATGGGATATTAGAAAGGCGGGAAAATTTATTCACATTATTAGCTAGCGTTTTTTGAGCGTGATTCTGAAAGACTTTTTTTGCACTGTATATTAGACTAATATTGGAATTTATATCCTGCAATAATGGATGAATCGGAAATAAATTAATGATTATATTCGGATCTTGAATCAAACAGATTTTGAAATATCTATAAACGATTCGAAGTATTGACAGTTTTCTCAGACGATTTTGACATAGTGACGATGAAAACGCAAGCCACAAGAAACTTTATGAAATCGTTTGTAATAATCCTTCTGCCCCTCCTCCGAGATTTGCATTCACTAATACGCCTGAAATTCATTTAGATTTTGATGCAAGCTCTGGTAAATGCAATATTATGAAGCATTGATAGATAATAGTTTGATATTGATTTGATTGTTCACGAAACAAATCATGCTGAACAAACTATTGGGAGCACTTAATTTCAGAAGCTGGAGCCAACATCAAAAGAAGAAATGCATGTTTTAATAGCTCTATATTCTTCAAAGCATCGTCAAAAACCAACAAATGAACAATTTATAGCTAAAGATTTCCATATCGACTCCTTTTTCTCCAAAGTCAATCTATCGGCGTTTCAATCTAATTTACCGTTTCTTGCATTTTTCCGATAATGAAACATTTATTTACTGAAACACATGAGTGCCCCAAATTATCAAACATTTGGCCAGTACTAAAATATTTGACCATTTGTTTCATAGTTACACCCGATAGAGATGTTACTTTGATGAAACTCTGATGTTATTCAAAGGAAGGCTTGGTTGGAAAATAATATATGCCTCTAGAGCAGTCACGATTTGGAATAAAAAGTTATATGCTGTGTGAATCCAAATCAGGGTATGTGGGTCATTGATTATATACACTGGAAAAGGTACCGATGAAAAATACAAGCATATGTGTATGTCACCTCTCTATTTTAAATAAGGGGATTTGTCTCACACAGATAATTTTTATTCCTCTCCGGAATTGGCAGATATTCCCATTCAAAGTTTGAAAAGGCAATAAAACCCAAAGAAAGGATGTTCCTAAAGAACTGCTACCTAGACAAAGGTCAAATGTGACGATTTTTGCGTTATGAAATGGATGGACAAGAAGGCATTTATTTCAACAATACATAATCCTTGGTTCAAGTACAAGAGTCATAAAAATGAGATAAGAAGAAAACCTAAAGCAGTTATGGAATATAACAACACAATGGGTGGTGTAAATGGATTGCAAACATCTTACAAAATTACCCTTTGATAAAGAAAAGGGAAAGAAGTATTACAAAAAATATTCTTTCATCTATTGGACATATGTTTGTGGAATAGTTTTGTGTTGTACAAAAAAATGGTGGAAAAGACTCTCATTTTGCAGTTTAGAATGGACATTGTTGATTGCCTGATAGAAAGATATGGAGAAGTGTCAGGAAAGAAAGGCCGCGTCCTGCACTTCAACCCAATCCAATGAGATTGAATTTTTTGATAATTGCACCAAGTGAAAAGAAGCTGAGACCTGCAAGAAAGTGCTATGTTTGTTCGCTGAAGAAAAATGACAACGGAAAAGAATTAGAAAAGAAACACGATACTTTTGCCCGGACTGTGATGTTGGACTGTGCTTGACACCTTGTTTCAAACTGTATCATACCAAATTGGATTTGTAATCATAAAGAACTGTTACAATAAAGGAAATATATACTGGTAAGTATGAAAATGTTTTTAATTGTTTTTCATTTTTTACATATACCTGTAAAGTGCGCTTTCTCGTACATCGTTAGTGCTCGAAAAAAGCAATAATTTGAGAATAACCTATGAACATTTAAAAGCACTCTAAATAGTTCATTTTCGTAATAACAATGATTTAACTTGTAATTATCGTTTTATAAAAAAGA